GTAACAGTCATGTCATTGAAGGACAATAGCTGATTCATTGCTGACATGACCAAAAGACAATACAAAGGGAGGCATAGTAACAGTCACATATTGGGGAAATAATACTCACTTAAAAACTCTCCAATCAAATAGCAACAAGTACTTATTTTAACCTTATTTGGACCAAAAACTGCTTAGGTGATGTCCAGAAAAAATTGTAACTTCTGTATTACTCACTATTCCTCAGTCAATGAGAAACCAGGGGAGGGGATTCACACACTAGTATTAAAAAGCTTGTTGTAACCACCTTGGGTGTGCCTGACCACAAGACACCCATTCTTGCAAGACAGTCAATAAAGTCTCACTTCTGCTGCACTCCAGGTCTCCAAGTCCATCCTTTGATTTTTGAACAGGTGAATTCATTTCTCACAATTTGGTGGCTCATCCAGGATATTCTGCATCTGTGGGAGGGGGACCCCAGCAGAGGAGGAGACATATCCTACCCGATTTTGGATGACCACCCAGGATCTCTGCTTTGGCCTCTTAGTTGCTCTCGGGGCTCTAGATAAGCCTGAGACTATTGTTCCAGCGGCAGCAGAAGTGACACAGAGGAGAAAAAAAAAAAAAGAAACAGTCACTGTGGCAACCGGCAACCTCGCCCATGAGCCAAGGTAGGAAAAATTTGACTGTAAGTATTGCCTTGGTGGTTGGGGCACTCTCAGAGGTGAGTATGTGTGTGACTGAGATGTATCACAGACACGAAGAGAGTCCCGATCGGCAGTTCCATCTTCCCAAGAAGGAAATAGGGGGAGACAGATGAAGCAAATCACGGGGTACACCAGAAACCCTCGGGGGGTTGAGTTGCATAGGCAAACTCAGGCATAGGCATCAACCAGGGAATACAAGAAACTCCTAGTAAGTGAAGTTGAGAATTCAAGTTTGCTAAGAATGGGGAATAAAAATTCTAGGCCTGGGGAATCCAAAAAAGGTGGAGATAAAGATTCTCCCTCTAACATTACCCCAGATAGCCCACTCTGGAAATGTTAAGGTCTTGGGGACAGCCCTTATACCAAGAACAAGGGGAATGATCAGAAGGGCTGCAATATCCATATAGAAATGAGAACACTCTCCAAGGCTGGGCATTCAGCCAGCCGAGCAAAAGTATCCAAATGTAGATCCTGGGTGGGACAATAATTATCAAGAGGATAGTACAAAAATGCAGGATCTGAGGGAGCTGATAATTGAGAGAATCATCCCCGAGGTCTCAGGATATCTCTAAGGCTTTTGAGGCTCAAAAAAAGAAGGAAAAAAACTCTAACTGCCCATCAGAGACCCGGTAAGTACAAACCTGACAATACCCCAGGTGAATATTAGGGCACTGGAACCCAAATTAATTTCTTAATTAACACAGGTGTCAGCAGTTTGGTCCTGGCCATCCATGCTGAAATTATAAATTTCAGAGTCCAAATAGATAACCTGCAACTACAGGGTTAAATAGAGGCTTCTAAACTTTATTTCTCTCCTTTCTGCCTGCTTTAAATCTTCTAGTAACTAAGCTACTGATGTTAAGATAAGCTCACTGTTTCAAGGTTAAATTTTTAAAATTTTTTCTTTTTAATACAGTTCATCCAGTTCGAACTAAACTGTTAACATTGACAACTCATTTAAAACTGAAGGGAAAAAAAAGGTTTTAAAAATTAAACTGCCTTGAAAACTGTTTTGCCCCAATTTTGGGTCACAGATTTTATTGGACTACCTATTGGGGTAAGCGAAGTTTAGTTATGCAAATGAGTTCCAATTTTGTCAGAAATATCATTTGAATGTGGGTGTCTTTTGAAAAATGGTGAGTTTGTTGCTGTTTCATGGCTGAATTTTGGAGGTAAAGGTTGTTAAAACTTTGTGTGTACATATGTATGTTTGAATGTGCTTGCATGTATGTGCACATTATGTGTTTTGTCCAGCATGCTACCAAACTGGCTTCTAAGTAAATGAGTACTCATAATGTAAATAAATAAATCTAAATGCTTTCCAATTTCATGTGACTTTAATGATCTTCAGTAAATAAAAACAGTTTTAAAATTATTGATAAAATGAAAAGTGTCTTTGGAATTGTCAGCATACATTTTTGTCTAGGTCTCCTAAGTAAGTTTTGCATTTGCTTATGCCTGATATTTAAAGTATCAGGATTTGACATGAAAGTTATAGAACAATAAACCTAGCCAAAACCAGAATGATCTTTATTTGTATAAATATTTTTGTTACCAGTGTAACTAATTTAAGATTATTGGTTCAAAAAAAAAAAAAATCTAGCTAAACCTTCTGAATTATCAGTAAAATGTTTATGTGTTTCACTTTAAGGTTGTGGATATAAAGGTATATTTTTGGTAAGGAAAATTATAAAGGAAAGGGAATGATTTTGTATATAAAAGAATTTTGTATGATAAAATTTTGTCCTAAAGTAAAACGACTAGCTATTTAGGAAAGAGGAAAATACAGAGCAAAACAGAGAATCCAAGCATGTCATTAATGGTATGTGGAAGTCATGATAAGTTTCACAAAAGGGAATTTATGAAAGAAATCTTGGAATATGATTAAGTTGGGTATAAGTCTTCTCCAGTCCTAACTGATGTTATGGCTTGAAAGATTTTTAATTACTTAGGAAACTGAGCTTTAAAAGGATAGAAGTTTTTTTTTTTTTTTTTACATCATCATTTTGTATAGAAAAATATCTTGTATGGTACATTTTTGTCTGCTAATAAAATGGCTGGTTTTTTTTAAGAGAAAGTATAGGGAAAAAAATAAAAGGTTCAAGCATGTTTCAAAAATAGTGTAAATATGCCAAAAATGGTGTGTTAAAGTTTTGTGGGGGAAAAAATGACTCACAATGACCTGTAATTCTGTGTTATAACATTATGCTTTTAAAAATTGTAATACTTAAACTCTTCAAGCTCTTAATTCAGTCCCTGTAGGGTAGGGTAACAAAACAAATTTCAGAAGCCACATCTACCTTAACCCTCCTCCTGAACTGCCTGCAGACCAGCCTGGAGACCTGGTACTAATTAAGTCCTGAAAGAAAGATCTACCTCAGTCCAGCTGGGAAGGCTCCTGTCAAGTACTCTTGACCACAGAGACTGCCATATGGACAGCAAAAAAGGTTGAACTCATTATACACACGTTCAGGGACCAATAAAAAACTTAATAAGGGGAGGGAAGAAAGGCGGTGAGGGTGCACAAGGTGCCCAGAAAACCTAACTATAAAGTTTAATGATTGTAGGCTAAAAAAAAATCAGAGGTAGCTCCCACAGGTAAATGAATATCTCTGTCCTGAACAAATTTTAGGTCATCAGGAACCGCCCTATCCTAGTTGGGGAGATGTATGATAGACTATGAAGCACCAGGGGTGGACTGCTGCTACTCCATTTGGAGATCCTAGGGGATGGAATTATTTACTACCCCCAAAAAGGGCCACAAATTCAGAAATTGAAACAGGTTATGGAGACACCAATGCCTGGGAAAAAATGGGTTAAATATTCAGCACTTGCTTTAAATAAGAATGATTGTTATGCATGTGTTGCAGGACAACCACAGGCACAGGTAGTCCTGTTTCCCCTTGTCTGGGACACAAACCTCACTGGCATGAATGGAGTAATGGCTCTACACTAGGACAAGGGAAAACTGAGTCTTATAAGAGCCTGTCCCTGCTTTTCCCTGCATTATGGGGGTCAGATCCAAAGGCAGTCCCCTCTTTTTCCATAGGAATGGTGAACCACTTCTCTTACCTCTCCAGGCAGGGGGAAGAGTTCAGGGAACCTATGGAAGATCTCATGACCTATGCCCACATCCAAAATGTCTCCGGTGAGTCTAATGACAACTACTCTAACTTGTACTTCCCCTGAATGGATGTTTGGTGGTATGGTGGAGGGAAAAGCCTGCGTGACTTGTTGCTATTCAACTGGACCAGGATTTGTGCATTGGTCCAATTGGTTACTCCATTTACCCTGGCATTCCCTCACATCTGAGAGCACTTAGAATTCTGACGAATTTTGGAAAGCACTACCAGGGTCCTGTAATTCAAATGTGTACATTAAAACCATAGGGGTCTCCAGGGACGTCCCTAATAAATTCAAGACTAAAAACCAGATAGCCACAGGGTTTAAGTCTGCACTCTTTGGTGGTCTACAATGAATACAAATGTAGATTGGATAAATTACATGTATTATAATCAGCAAAGGTTTATAAACTATACTAAAGATGCTCTTCAAGGAGTAGCTAGCCAATTAAATGCTGCCAACAGGATGGCCTAGAAAAATAAAATAGCATTAAACAATAATGCTAACAAAGAAAGAAAAAGTCTGTGTTATGTTGGGAGGAAAATATTGTATTTTATTCCAAATAAGACTGACCACAATGGTACTATCACTAAGACTTTACAAGGACTAACCACTTTAGCTAATAAATTAGCTGAAAACTGTGACATCAATAATCCTTTTACAGACTGGTTAAAAAGATGGTTTGAAAAATGAAAAGGTATGGTTGCCTCTATTTTAACATTTCCTGTTATAGTTGCAAAAATTGGGGGTCATACAAATCAATGAAAATGAATAAAATAGATTTTAAAAAGAGGAGGAAATTATAAAGGATAATAAATGATTCATTTCCAGAAAGTGGATTAAAGTTTGCTGACATGACCAAAAGACAAAATAGAGGAAGGCTGGCAATCGTCACGTCATTGAAGGACTATAAATGATTCATTGTGCACATGTCCAAAAGGCAAAACAAAGATAGGCATAGTAATAGTCACATATTACATAAAACTTGCTTAAAAATAAGAAAGTTGAAACCCTCCAATCAAATAGCAACAAGTACTCATTTCAACCTTATTTGGACCAAAAACTGCTTAGGTGACATCTGGAAACAATTATAACATCTGTATTACTCAGTCAAAGAGAAACCGGGGGAGAGATTCACACACTGCAAAATAAAAAGCTTGTTGTAGCCACTTTGGGTGTGCCTGTCCACCAGACACCCGATGTCACAAGACCGTTGTTAAAGTCTCGCTTCTGCTGCACCCCACGTCTCTGTGTGCACCCTTTGATTTTGGACGGGTGAGTTCATTTCTCACAAAGAGTATTGGGGTTGATTAAGGTAGGGTGAGGGGTTTGTGTAGATTGACCGCGATGGGGTTATGGTAGCATGCAACTTTGCGTGTGGAAATGTTTCAGTCTATAGGATTTGTAAGGGGCAGGGGGAGGAAAGAGAGAATATAGAGGAAGAGGGAGAGGCATCTGGGTGGCAAAGTAAAATGAAGGAGGTGTAGTTGTAAGAGGGGTTGTGAGGGGTAAACTGTGTGGAAGCTTGAAATTTTGTGATGATATCCCTACCTAGTATAGGTGTGGGGCATTGTGAAATAACTAAAAAGGAACAAGTAAAGGGCTTGTTGAATAGAAAGTAGAGTAGTGGCTTGGTCATTTTAAGAATGGAAGATATTTTATGTACTTTAACAATAGAGATAGAGTTATGGAAGGGTCCTGTGTATTTTGGCAAGATTGAGTGTGAAGCCTCCATGTTTAATAAGAAAGATACAGGCTTATCGGATATGACAGTGTTACCTTAGGTTCTGCAATGGCATCAATGGTGAGGGTAGTGGGGGTAGCAGACTAACTTGACTCCGTTAGTTTTCAGTAGCTAAGCCAAGGAATTCAGCCAGACCTGACTGTGGATGAGGAAACCTGGGAGTGTTAGAAGTGACTGAACAGGAGGGAGAGTCTTTTTGGTCACACTCTGACTTCCAGTGTCCTTTATCTGACAAATAGAACATGTTTTGGGGCTGGTCACATTTGTAGCATTGTCCTGATGGTGGATGGGAGTTTGTTGAGGGTTAGAAGGTTTTCTGAAGCCATCAGAACCCTGTTGAAGGGCTGCTGGAAGAAGTTGGTGTTTGGTTTGATTTCTTTTTAGTTTTTTGAACTTTTGCTCCTCATGTCTCTTGTTAAAAATCTTAAAGGCAGTTTTGTTAAGATCCTGATGTGAAGTTTGGGGACCACCCTCTAATTTTTGAAGTTTTTTTTCCTTTTTAATGTATTTCTGGGACTGATTGAGAGATAAAATGAAGTGTAAGTAAATTTTATCTTTATTAGAATTTGGGGTAAAAGTAGTATATTTAAGCATGGCCTCTGAGAGGAAGAAGAAAAGGGAAGGGTTTTTGTCAGGATTTTGAGTAATTTCTTTGATTATTTTCATAATTAACTAGTTTTAGAGTCACCTTGTCTTTTCCAGTTAATAAGCAAGTTATTATGTGGCCCCTTTTCTGTCTATCTGGGGACATAATTTGATAATCTCAGGAGGAATCTATGCAGGGCACTTCTTTGACACCTATGGGACCATGGACTGGGTCCTGCTAGTGGAGGGTGCTGGCATGGGAATGAACTGCTGCCCAGATGTGTTCCTTTTCCTCTGGGGAAAAGGAGAGGGAAAGAATAACATACAGGTTATGCTAGGTAAGGTTATAGGATTGGGCGATGTGGAGGAATTATTTTATGGTAAATAGTAGGGTTAGAGGTAAAGGAGCCTAGGCAATTTTGAATTTGAGAGAGGTTGCCCAAGGAGAAAATACTATGTACTATGCTTTTTGCCACAGCCACGTCTCTGAGAAGAAGGATGGAAGCAGAACTTTGGGGATAACTTGGGATGGAGGACGTTGATATGAAAGTGAGTGTTAGGAGGAGAGGGAAAGGGAAAGAAGAGGTTGTGAATAAGGAGGATTTGAAAAGAATTATAGGTTTGCAGCAAGAGGGCTTGGATTGAAGATAGAGGAAAGCCTGAGCTTAGGGGACCTCGGACCATTTCCCATTGCACCGGAATGAATTGTAGAGGCTGCGGAGAATTTGGAAGTTAAATTGATTAGTATATGGAGAATTTGGAAATTAAGGGTTCCATATTTGGGCTATTAATTGTCATTGTTTAATTGATATTGGGTTAAGTCATATTACAGAAGAAAATAAGATGCTTTGGCCTTAGAATAGGACCCAGATTTTTGAGACATTTGAGAGATGCTTTGGTTTTAGAGTAAGAACTAAATTTTTGAGATTGTGAAGGAGACATCCAAGAGGAGTGTCTCAGGGAGATTTAGAGGAGACTTGACCTATCTTGGAGACATTCAGAGGGGGAGCAATTTGATCCCCAGGAGACAGGGAAACAGTGGAAGAATGAGGCATCCCCCACAGGTTTTACTGTTTCCAAGAGTCAAGAAGTGGCCGCTTTAAGGGTGTCTCCCCCAAAATGATGACTACACAATTATTGATAGGTCATGGCTACTTTAAGAGCATCCTCCAAAGCAACAACGACAATGAGGGTCACCACTCAGTGGTGACCAAGAAGACCTCTCACTGGTGCTGGGGTTTTTGACAGACCCTCTGTCCCGGATCAGAAATGAGCAAAAGAGAGGAATCCAAGATAGGGGGAAGGAAAAAATTCACCCACTGATTAATGATCAGTTGGATGAAGTGTCCAGCAATGGAAAAGTCCTACTGGAGCCACCCGAGGGGAGAGGGGAAAGAGGAAAAGAATGAGAGAGGAGAAAGGATAGGGGAACAGATGGGTTAGGTACAGGGACAACTTAGAAGTTGGTCCATGGTGGGACCAACCCCCTTCCCAGGTTTCAGCAACAAATTTTTAGGTCAAAAAAACTAGCGGATAGGAAAAGAGAATATATATTTATTCAAGAAAGATACATGTCAAAAAGCAGGGGGAGGGAAGAAGACTTCAACTGACCAAAAAAGAAACAGCAGTAACAAATAAGATAACAAATAACATAAAAAGCCCCTAGGTGACTCAGATGTCTTTTAGGTTAGTTTGGTGCTCACTAGAATAGGTATTTTAAGTGAGCCCCAAATAACAGTGATTTAAACAATTTGTTTCTTTCACACTTAAAATTCTCATTTGAAAAGCCATCAAGTGTGATGTAACTTCAAGTCATGAAACTTCTAGATAATTAAGTTTAGTCTATGTTGCTTATGATTGGAGATCAATCACCACCTCACCTATGCTCCAGTTCACGAGAAGGAAGAATAAGTTAAAGGCTAGGTTCTTTCTTTTAGCAGCCACTGTTCATATTGTAACTAACAATTGAAAAGATGTGGAATCAACTGACCAGTGAATAATGAAAATGTAGTGTGTTTGTGTGTGTGTGTGTGTGTGTGTGTGTGTGTGTGTGACATGATCGTGTGTACAATAATTGATGCATCTTCATTATTCAGATGTTCTGGTGCTGGCAGTTGTGTGTATATCCCAAGGCACTTGCAACAGAGTTCTCCAGTCTCAGCAAATACATCCAGACAATTGGTGATTTACGCAGACCAAATAAAATACTTATTTTTTCTTCTAAACACATTGAAGTGTTACAATTGTATGTTTTTCAACAAAAGAATTATAAAGAAAGTCAGTGGTCTTCCTATGATGTGTTTGAAACTTCTCTATTAGTATACAAAAGTACTTGAATATAATGGTTTTGTCTGAATATTTAAAATGTCAGCTAGTCTTGTTAACATCAAAGATGTGATATGACATGTTTTGTCTAGCATTTTCTTTTAATTTCTGCATGGGTAAACAATCCACTTCAATGAGCTGAATAAATAATGTAGTTGTTTGACATTCAATTATCCATTTAAATTATTTTAATTTATTCCCCTTATTTATCACCTGTTTAAGTTATCTGTCATCACTGATTCTCATTCTTCATTCCCACAAGGGATTCAGTTTCACAAATGTCATAATTTATCTGACTTCTAAAGTTCTTGCGTATGAAATCTGTAAGTTATTTACTTTTTAGAAACATAAAATATTTTGCTTTTGTACAAGTATAAAAAAGCTCTCTCTATTGTCATTTTAACTCCATATACATTTTTAAATGTTATTAAATTTGACTTATTATCATTCTTATAATTGTTTTTATTAAATATTGAATTGAGACATTAAACTTGTAAAATATGTATAAGGCAAAGATTAAAGAATAAAATTCAACTTTTTAAAGCTTGAAGTATCTTGCTGATACTTCCCACTTTTTTCCCCTCTATTCATCAGCACAAAATTATGCTAAACTTTGTGTTTATTAATTTTCTGTACTTTAGAAATTTAAGATACATCTTTAATTTTCCAAAACATTTTGTTTAGATTTAAACTCTGCATTAAAGGACTCAGACTATAGATATCTTACGATTGCTTTTCTTTGGATAGCTCAGTAATATTTTCCCATGATCTATTCACGTTATTGCATATAGTTCATACCATTCACTTGACCAGAGGCAACATTCAGTAAACAGCAGTCTAATTTTATATGATAAAAATTTTCACTAATTAATATACAACAACTTATAAATCCATTCTACTGTGATGAACATTTAAACTGTTTTCCACTTGTTTTAATTTATTTTGCATTTGCTATTTGCTTTTGCTACAGTGAAGTTTGGTCATTTAAGTTGTGTCCACTTTGTTTTCATTTGTTTTGCTTTTGTTATTATAACCAGTGCTGCTATGAATATTCCCTTGTATACAAGGTTGTACATTCCATATCTATCCATACTTGCTATACTGACCTCTTTATTCCTTATCTTCTCATCTTTATAAGAAGACTAATACTTTATAGGATCGTTATAGAAATTTTGTTTTCTTTAGAGGAAATTTTTAAATGTATTTTAATTTTTAATAATAAATAATTATATATATTTATAGGGATTAAATGAAATAACATACAAAATGTTTAATTTGGGATCTAAGTATAAGCAACTTGAAAGATATCATGATCCACTGTGAGTAGTCTTCTATGAACTATTCTTCTCTCTACTTATAGTAGTATCATTTTGGCTGGAAACATGAAGGATACATTTTAGCTTGGATACAGGAAGGCTGCATTTTACACTCTTTGCGCTATATAAGAGCTATGTGACTAAGTTCTTGCTTGTGGAATGCCACAGAAAATAATAAATACATTCTTTTCCTTGCCCTTAATATGTATAATATTTTATATATGCTCTTAATATATTAAGAATAATATACTTATATTAAGAAGAATATAATCAAGCCTTGTTCAAGTGTGTATGTAGGCTTTGTTGGCACCACCAGGAGGAGCATTGTAGCTCCATTTAGACTGTTTATGTAAGACAATGGAGAAGGAAAATCCTATGGGCAAGCACCTAGTAATGCAGCTGTATTTAATCTTTGCTTCAAAGGAGATATACCAGAGATAAAATTCTAAATCAATAAATCAATTGATTAACAATTAGTTCATTAGACAATTTGCTAACAATTTGTTCAAATTTTCTGGAATGTACAAGGAAACATATTAGAGAATTGGCACAAGGTTGCTGGGAGTAAGAAGTGTGTGTAGAGATCTCTAGAAATGCATTCAAATTGTGACAATAGTTGTGAACCCCATTCGCCATTGACTGGCACTGCATGTTTGCTGCAGATGATATCAGTTATCAAGTAGACAAAGTGACTTGTGTGAATGTCAGGCACCTTATTCTCCAGCCACTCTAGTTCATGTTCAATGATCTCTTAAGTAAAGTAACTATAGAGTCAGAATGGAAATACTGTGTAGATGAAGCAAAATGAGTTTTTCTTTACTGAGGTTGATCTGGCTACTGCAGTAGTTGCGACCCCTAAAGCTGCTAATAGCAGAGACAAAATTCAGCCTCTGTTATAGCAAATTTCTTTGTGAACGATTGACTGCATGGATTCCCTTCTATAATGGAGGAGACAGTTATTTATCCTCCCTGGAATAGACACTTATCATGGTTAAAAACTTGCTTTCTTTGCTTATCATGCTTCTGCCAGAAATAGTGTCATTGGACATACTGAATCTCATATTTACTGAAACAGATTCCTGTGCCACACTCTTCTCACCACAAAATTTATAGAACAGAGAAATCAGTGCAGTAGTGGAATTCAGTGTTTTTACTGTGTGTCCTGCCATCCACAGGCAGTTGAAACTGACAGAAAAGTGGGAGCCCTTCTGAAACCTCAGTTATAATGCCAGCTTGGAAAGGTTATAGTTTTTTAAAAAAATAACATATGCATGCTAACTTTTTTCCAATTCTTTTGAATTCTATATAATTTCATCTAGTTCTTTTTTGCATCTATTGAGAAATTCATGACTTTTTCCTTCCATTTTTTAATAAAGTACATAACTACCATCAATTTTTCCTTTTCTCTTGTGAACCTAACCTTATTATATATTATTTTATTTTATTGTGTATGCATTATATTATCTTCACTATACATTAATAGCTGTGATTTATATTATTGACTTTCAAAATTTTGCATCCTGTTAATCAGTAAAAGTGACCTGCAATTTTTCATTGTATTTTTGTTATTTTATTATCTGTGCAAAATAAGATAGCATTTCATGAATTAGTACAACTTTGGAATTCATTTTAAATGACTAGTGGAATGTATATGCCCTGAAGGCACTTTTAGTTTTCATTCTAAACAAAAACTGTCTTTCTGATAAAAGCAAACCAAGAAATTCTTAGGTACCTGAGACCGTTTCCAGTGTTACCTCATGACTGTAGATATAACCTGAACTGTGTAATGGAAACTGCTTTGGAGGTTAACAATTTATATATAAATATATATACATATTTGTGAAATTTCACATATATAACAGAGACTTTAATGAATGTGAAAAATTTGTAATTAGTTAAAATATACTCCAATAATCCTAGACTGGACAAGATTTTTATTCCAAAAGCTTAAAACATCCATAATTCCATGCCACTAAGGAAGTCAGTATTCATTCCATTTACTTGTTCAGTCTGCAAGTCCCACTTGCTCATTAAACAATATTCTTTTACAGGAGATTATATGGTGAACTGGTCACAATCATAAACTGCAAGTAGGCAGAACCTGGCTACAAATCAAATACCTGGTCTCTTGGGCGTCAAACCACAATAAAATCAATTTTAAAACAAATTATAAAACAAGGCTGAAATTGGTGACATGAGAAGGGTCCAATAAATCACACACATTTTTCTACCTAAGATAAATCAGTAGACAAATAAAGGGTAGCATATAAAGACCAAAATACCTCCTTTACTATTGCTAAAATAATACCTTCATAATTGTGATTTATGTTTATGAGCAAGTAGATTAGACATAAATCACATGAACCCGCTAAAGGAGACAAATGTATCCATCATACATGCCTGATCTTATGAAGTGTATGGTGGTAAGCACAGTAGATTATGTGCTACAGGTTAGGACCTCACACCTGAGAAAGAACTATTCAGCCCAAGTTTGCCCAACTTCACCAAACGAAGAAGGCACTCCCTTCTTCCTGGTAACAAGAGCGTAAAAAAGCAAAAGAGAGCAGGAGAATCACAGAAACAGATGTCCCACCACAGGACAGAAAATATCTAGAGTAGAGTAAAATGCCTTTGACCCCAAGATTTTTTAAAGGTGGAGTTTTAATTTTAAAAGTGAATGAAGCCAGGCTCGGTGGCTCAGCCTGTAATCCCACGCCTTTGGGAGGCTGAGGTGAGTGGATTGCCTGAGCCCGCGGGTTCGAGACCCACCTGGGCAGCGAGACTTCATCTCTACAATAAATCAAAAAATCAGCCGGGCATGGTAGTGCATGCCTATAATTTCGGCTACTTGGAAGGCTGAGGCAGAAGGATCGCCGGAGCCCAGCAGGTCGAGGCTGCCGTGGCCGGGAGCGGCCACTGCACTCCAGTCTGGGTGACAGAGTGAGACTCCAACTCAAAAAAAAAAAAAAGAAAAGTGAATGAAATGCACTTAGGACATAGTAAATCTTCAACAAATATTAAGAGTTTTTATTTGGTATATGATCGGTGTGCTTTATTCTGCATTTCTTCTTATAGTAAAATACTTCAACAATGCTTAAAATAATGAAAACTGTAAAGTAAGTACTTATTAAATGTGTGGAATTAAGTTATGTATGTTTTTTCTGTTTTCAAATTTTGGAACTGTTTTTCCATTTTAATATTTCTAGATCCCTGCTCCTTAGCAAAGAACATTTTCATTGATGCGTATGATATGAGATTTATGAAGCAAAGTCTAAAATGCTTGTGAGAAAATGATGAAAAATATTTTATCTGTCACACAGATAAAACATCTATTAGTGGGAGTTACAATTATTTCTGAAATGCAATGCAATTTTATAATGCATATAAAGATTTTAAATTGATTTTGAGTATTTTGACCTGATAATTGCACCTGTAGAAAAATATCTAAAGAACTGGCAAAATATATAAAATGTATTATAAATCATAATTTTCATCTCAACAATATTTAGAGTAGTTAAAAATTAATATGACAATATGAGAAAAAAATAACTATTCTGGCATATTTTTATGTAGCAATAAAAATCATTC